TCGGGCTCCCGGTGCATGGAGCCTGCTTCTCCCTCTGCCTGTGTCTCTGCCCCCCGCCCCTTTCTTTCTCTCTCTCGGTGTCTCGCTCTGTCTCTTATGAATAAATAAATAAATAAATAAATAAATAAATAAGATCTTTAAAAAAAATAAAAATAAAACATCCAATAAGAAAGAGGAGAAGTCTAAAGTCCTTATATGCATTATTCTATATATATATATAAAAATCCCAAGGAATCCACATACCAAAGAAAACTACTAGGACTAGTAGATGAATTTAGTGCTGTTTGTTGGATACAAGATCAATATATAAAAATCAATTGCATTTGTATGTGTATCAATGAGCAGTCCAAAGATAAAATTACTAAAATAATTTTATTCATAATAGCTTCAAAAAGAATAAAATACTTGGGAATAAATCTAACAAAAGAAGTACAAAACTTACCCAGTGAAAACTGTAATTTGCTGAGAGAAATTAAAGAAAGTCTAAATAAAAGGAGATATTCCATGTTCATAGTTTGGAAGATTCAGTATTTTTAAGATGACAGTATTCTCTGAATTGATCTATAGATTGAATACAATTATAGTCAGATTTCTAGCGATTTTTTGGCAGTAATTATGATAAATTCATTCTAAAATATACATAGAAGGGAACCAGAATAGCCAAAATAATTTTGAAATAGAATGACATTGGAGGACTTAAATATCCTGATTTCAGAGTATAGTATAAAGCTATATAATAAAGACAGTATCCCGCCAGCATGAAGACAAATAATAGAGTAATGGAACAGAATCAGGAGTCCAGATACAAACCTTTAGATATATACTCTGTTGACTTTTGACAGAGGTACCAAAGCAATTCAGTAGCAAAAAGATAATGAGACAATTAGATGGTTCCAAGACAATTAGATGTCCATATACATGAAGATGAATTTAGACCCTTTCCTTATACCAGGCACAAAAATTAAGAAGGAAGGATCAAAGGCCTAAATATAAGAAATAAAACTTTTAGAAAACAAATAGAAAATCTTTATGACCTTAGGTTAGGCAAAGAGTTTGAAGATACAGCACCAAACAATCCATAGAAGAAAAAAATTGATAAATTGGAATTTTTTTGTACTTAAAAAGCAGAATCTTTTGTTCTAAAGGAGACATTTTAAGAAAATGAAAAGATACCCACAGACTTGGAGAAAACATTTGTAAATTATATGTCTGATAAAGGAGCTGCATCTAGAGCATATAAATAAGTAAGATTAAGTAGTAAAAATACAAAAATATAAACAGCCTCATTTTTTTTTAAGATTTTATTTATTCATGAGAGGCACACAGAGAGAGAGAGGCAGAGGGAGAAGCAGGCTCCATGCTGGGGGGCCCGATGTGGGGCTTGATTCCAGGACTCCAGGATCATGCCCTGAGCTGGAAGGCAGACACTTAACCACTGAGCCAACAGCCTCATTTTTAAAAGGACAAAGGTTTTTAATTTAATACACATTATACCAAAGAACATACAGAAATGGCCGAGTAGAACATGAAAAGATGCTCAACATTATTACTCATCTGAGAATTGCAAATTAAAACCATAGGTATTTTTCATACTCACTATATAATGGCTGTCATCAAGAAGACCAAGAATAACAAGTGCTGCCCTAGAACCTATACACATTGCTGGACAGTGAAAATGATACAGCCACTTTGGAAAACACTTTGGCTGTATCTTTAAAAGTTAAATGTAAGTTTTTCATTTTTGTCTGGTACGTCCCCAAGAGAAATAAAAGCATGCCCACACAAAAATTTTGGTAGAGATGATCATAGCAGCATTATTTATAATAACCAAAAACTGGAAACAAGTCAATGCCCATCCACTGTGAATCAGTAATGGTCTATCCTCATGCAGTGGTCTACCCATCCAGTGGTACTTTCCAGCCAGAAAAAGGAAGTATTATTTTGTGCTACAACATGGATAAACCTTGAAAACAGTATGCTAACTGGAAGAAGCCAGATGAAAAAGATTACAAGTCATATGATTCCATTTATGTCAAGTGTCCTGAAAAGGTAAATCTACAGAGAGAAAAGCGAATGACTAGGTGAGCTGTAGGTGGGAGTGGGATGTGACTGCAAATAGGTACAAGGGACCTTTTCTGAGTGGTGGTAGTGTCATAAACTGGGCGCAGTGGGTGATAATTATACAACTTGGTAAATATATTAGAAACCATTGAATTTTGCGTTTAAATTGGGTGTATTTTATGGCATAAATTATACCTCAAAAAATCTATTTTCTAAAAGAGAAGATGAGGTAGGAAGTGACAGGATGTGCCAAACACTATATATCCTTGCATGTAACTTCCTACTAGCCTTCCAGGTAGGTGATGGCATCTTATTTTGTTGTTGAAGACAATGAAGCTCAGGAAACATCAGTTCTTTGGTCGAAGTTTCCCAAGTAATTATGTTGCCAAGAATATAAGAATATAAGGTCATAAAATGTTGATTAAAATGTGATTCACTGGCTAGGAGAATTTATTTGAAAATTACTGGTGCTCATATGACATATTCTTATTGAAAACACCTGGGAGTGGTTTCTGGGGTCAGGTTAACTTTGCCACTGAGAATGACTGGGACTTTCTTTGTATACATATGGGATTTTAAGAGAGTGACACTGAATGGTCTGTCTGAAAACAGTGGCAATGGAGAGTGAAAAAGGCTTATATTAAGCCTTTGACCTCAAGACAAGGGGTCTTATGGAGATGGACAGTTTCAGAACTTTGAAAGGGAAGTATAAATATATACATAAAAGGGTAGATAAGGTGAGAAATTGGGCAAGAAAAGATTGAAAGTGCATTGAAATATCTTAGTAGTACAAGAGAAATGAGAAAAAAACGTTTATCTTTCTAAATAGAACAAGAGGCAGGTCTTATAGGTATCAAAGTGGAAGAGTGTGAATCTGCCCAGCCTAGGACCCAGCACTGCATCAGGGGCTCAAGAGATAAAGAGTGATCAGGTAAATGTAGAACCGAAACAATAATGGAGCCATGATTAATGATACCCACACAAGTTTAGTTGTATTTAGGGACAGAGCGATAAAGAGGAAACTTTATCTGTTTTTGAGAAGGGAGAAAGAGGAGTAAGTGGTCCCTTTTTGACTAGCAGTAAGAAAGATATGTTTATGGGATTCACTGAGACCACATAACACTTTTGTGCAGCAGTATGGGGGCGGGAAGAGTGGAGTCAGTACTGAAACAGATGATGTCGAATTTCCTCCCAGCTCCATGGTGTGTGAAAGAAACGTTTCCTTAGCGTTAAAATGAGAAGAGAGTTGAATTCTGGATGTTCTTAGTATAGATCAGAAGGCTCGAGAATAGATTTAGGAAGATAAAACTGATTTTTTTAAGAGAGAGTCTTCCTCATCTTAGTGATAGATTTTATCACCAAAAGGTTATCTTTTACATAAGATCTTTGTTCTAATGTGTTGATGGGTTTGAAATATTTATTTTGATTGGGCGAGTTCTTCTATAATTTATCAGGTCTTTTATAACCCGCAGAAATATTATACTGAAAATTTATAGATGCTTTTTGTTTTTTGAGTTCTCTGTCCTGAGAAAATACCACTTAGGTTCTGTTTTATCCATCTATATGTTTGGTGATATCCTAGAACATAGTGAGTTTCAGTAAATTAAGTTCCATCTGATGTAGGCAGCCCGTGTTTGATATGTGGCATTTACTGAGAACTGACATAAGAGAGCCTGTTCTATATTGCCTTCTGTAAATAGCATCAGAATTACAGCTCACTGGGGACAGCTGGCATCTGCTTTACAGAAGGTTTTCTATCCTTTGACTGTCTGATGAGTCATTTCTACTTTAGGCCAAGAGACTACATTCTTTATATCACACTTACCTTTGTGACTCAACAGGTCTAACTTCTAGACATATTTAAGACCTGTACTGGCCAGCACTAGCCTCGTGTGCTTTATAAGCACATAAAATGGGAGTGGTTCACATGGAGATATGCCACCAGAAGTGTAAAGTATATGCCATTTTCAAAGACTTCATATGAAAAAATACTCTTGGTACTGATTTCATGTTAAAATGATAATATCGTGGAAATATTTTAACCTAGTTCTTTTTAGTATTTTCATTAGGACCACTAGAAAACTTTAAATAATATATATTATATTTCTGTTGGACAACATTGATTATATAATTCCAGTGTGAGTGTGTTTTAGTTTTCAGCAATGCTATTTGTAAGGTCAATTTGTTGTTTGTATAGAAATGTTTGTTGTTTTCCTTACAACACAAAAGAAGTTTGATGTCTTTTTTTAAAGGTCTCTCAAATAACAATTTCCTAGAGATTCATTTTTCGTGCTTTTGGTGAGATTCATAATATCCTTGTTTGTTACTGTTTCCATGAATAAAAAATATGTGTATACCACAATAGGCATTTTGAGAGCTGATTTTCATTATAAAATAGCTCCTTAAATTTTTCAATGCAAAGAAGGCATCTAGACTTGGGCCCTTATTTTCATACTATTTCTGCAGATGTTATTATTCACACTTAACTTTAGAAAATTATTTAACTTTTAGTTTTTCTTACCTTCATTGTTTTGTTTTGATTTTTCTATAGAGACTAAGATTTCTGATCAAAAATGCTTTTCAGAAGCAAGGATTGTTTTGCTTCAGTGGTTCTTCCCCAGACCAGTTGTATTCCATAGTTAAAGCTTCTGTGATTCTTTCTTTTATTTTTTGAATAGGAAATTGGAAATAGAAAACTGTTCTCTATTTATTTTATGGCTCCTGCCTCTTAAAGTGTAGGGTTTGTGCTTTTGGTTCTAAAATGTTAATTTCCGTAGCATCGCTAAACAAGGTGAGAGCAAAAGGACACATCCCAAGAAGGTTATTGGATGGTAGGTTAACAACTGGCAACTGTGGAGCCTAGAGTAGGGCTGAGCAAAGCCACGGTTCTCGCGGCATGCCCCACCAAAGGTCACTCTCTCCTCTGGTTCTGCCTCCAGGCACCACAGACAGCACCTCCAGCAACACTGCCACCGTCATCTCCACAGCGCCACCGGCTTCCTCAGCAGTCACTTCCCCCTCGCTGAGCCCCTCCCCGTCCGCCTCAGCCTCCACCTCCGAGGCATCTAGTGCCAGTGAGACCAGCACAACACAGACCACCTCCACTTTGTCCTCTCCTCTTGGGACCAGCCAGGTGATGGTGACAGCGTCAGGGTTGCAAACAGCCGCGGCAGCCGCCCTCCAGGGGGCTGCGCCGCTGCCTGCAAATGCCAGTCTCGCTGCCATGGCTGCCGCTGCCGGACTGAGCCCAGGCCTGATGGCACCCTCGCAGTTTGCAGCTGGGTAAGGAGTTCCCACCCCCGATACCTCTGAAAACCAGCCAGGAGTCATCCCTCCAGTTACTTGTAGGGGATACTCCCATCACCACCTTAAATGCAAAAAAAAAAAAAAAAAAAAACTCTCTTTAAACCCATCTTCTCTTTGGAACAGGTAGCTCTGTGGTAGCACAAAGGCCTTGGTTATAGCTGGACTTAGTTTTCTTAGTGTCCTGGGGAAGCAGCAATCATATTGTTATTTCCAGATGAAGACCTAGAACACCAGGCCATCAGAGTTGATCTGTGTGAGTTGTGGGTCCAGGAGGAATGCCCAGAATTCTCCATTTAAACTCTCTCAGCTGTCTGCTTTCTAATTGTCAGACACAGACACTCGATAGAGTAATAAGATCCTCAATTTTATCTTATCAAACATAATAAGGATAACTTTGTAAATATATTCCTTTCTCTGGCATTTTGTTTTGTTTTAGAAAAAAAGTAATTCAAAGAAGAGTCAAAGTGACTGTGCAGGCTTTAGGTTTTGTGTGGATCATATCCTTATTTTGCTTTGTACAAGTAAGCATCAAAGAAAACAGTAAACTTATTCTCATAAGGAGAATAACAAATATTTCCGTATACTTCCCCAGCTGTATTTTCTTCTTTCTCTTATCCCTTTGGATATATTGTGTCTACATTGTAATGAAGTGACTCCTCTTTTGGACTTGCAGAGGTGCCTTACTCAGTCTCAATCCAGGGACCCTGGGCGGTGCCCTCAGCCCAGCTCTCATGAGCAACAGTACACTGGCAACTATTCAAGGTCAGTAGAATTTTTCCTCTTACTTAGGTCTTTCTTTTTTTCTTTTTTCTTTTCTTTTTTTTTTTTTTTTTTTTTTTTTTTTTTTAATGAGGGAAGTTTGCTTTGCTAGAGGTAAAGTTGATGGGGAGAGAGAGTTTGAATTGATAATGCTGACTTACTTGAGGACCAAGATGTCCTTGTAAAAAAAACTTTCTACAAGAAAGGTGTTAGTTTGTAAGAACAGGAAATATGCTTAGTTTCTAGTATTGTAAAAAACCAGGACTCTATGTTGATATTTATTCTTTTTTTTTTTTTTAAGATTTTTTTATTTATTCATGAGAGACACAGAGAGAGGCAGAGATATAGGCAGAGAGAGAAGCAGGCTCCATACAGGGAGCCTGATGTGGGACTTGATCCCAGGTCTCCAGGATCACGCCCTGGCCAAAGGCAAGTGCTTAACTGCTGAGCAACCCAGGTGTCCCTGATATTTATCTTCTTATGTGAATAGACTTGGATGCAGAATTTCCCCCTGATAAACTTACCTAAATAGGCATCTAAGATCCATCCTCAGGCAAACTTGACCAAGAAAAAAAAGAAAGAAAGAAAGAAAGAAAGAAAGAAAGAAAGAAAGAAAGAAAGAAAGAAAGAAAGAAAGAAAGGAAGGAAGGAAGGAAGGAAGGAAGGAAGGAAGGAAGGAAGGAAGGAAGAAAAGAAAGAAAAGAAAGAAAGAAAAGAAAGAAAGAAAGAAAGAAACATCTCCTAGTCCCCAACCCCACCCCTAAGAGAGGCACATGTGAGAAGGTCCAGTAATGAATTAACATTGGAGCACATTATGCAGACTTTAGGAGTACCTTTCATTGTTAGGTTCTGCCCTTTTTTATCCCCATCAGTTTAGAGCATATATTCTCTTGGATTGTCTCATTTCCAAGCCCAGATGCATCTCTTTTGGATTTAGCATGCTATCCAGTCTAAATCCACTCATTCCATATAGGGAAGGGTTTGCCTTGTTTGGCTTCTGAGCTTTGTGTCTGAAGATGCTATGTTATGTGATTCAGGAAGACAATTTGAGACATCACTGTATTAATCAGAGAATAATTTTCTCCTTAAAATTTAAATGGTTTAACCTCTTAAATGAGACTTCCTGGGGCCAAAAAATAAGCTGTTAGCCAACCTCAATTAAGATTAGTGTTTTATGAATGATACCTCCACAGTATACTATAGAGAATATGAGTTACAGACAAATCTAAGACATAATTTAGATTAGATTGCTCTTTCTAGGGTTCCTAGATCCGATTCCAGCATGCCCCTCCCCACCCCTAACACCAAGCAATTCTTGTTTACCAGCAGGGGATCTGAGAGTTCAAATTAATTCTGATACTGTCTACCTAGAGACAGTGTCAGATTCCACAGGTTAAGAGCTCAGTCCTACAAGGCTGCTCCTGCTCTCTCCCATCAGTTGTAAGCCCAGGCTGTTACTACCAGTACTTCTGACCAAGTACAGATTTGAGGTTCCAGCAACCTCTTCCTTAATTGTTTCTGTTACTTTGCTAGAGCAGCTCACAGAACTCAGGGAAACATTTATGTTCACCAGTTTAATAAAGGATATGGTGAAGGAAAGAAATCAATAGTCAGATGAAAAGATACATAGGGAGAGGTCCCAGACAAAGGAATTTCTGTCCTCGTGGAGTTTGGGACCTGGCTCAGTGGCACATATAAGTATTCCAGTTCTCCAAGAGTGGAAGCTCTCCAAAAAAAAACGTAAGATCTGTCCTCTTGGGTTTTTACAGAGGCTTCATGACCTAGTCCTGATTGACTAAGTCATTCGCCCTTGGCTAATTCAACCTCCATCTCCTCTTCCCTCCCGTGAGGTTGGGGGTAGAATTGAAAGTTCTAGCCCTCTGATCACATGGCTGGTCCTCAAGGCAAACAGTCACTGCCCTTGGGTGGGGTCCTCAAGTTACCCGCACAGATATTAGGACCATTTCACCTTTTTGGCTCTGAAGTATTTTCAGGATCTGTGGATACAGACCAGATATATCTGAGAAATAACTAATTTGGTCATTCAGTCATTTGAATATGTATTATAAATCATTACCTTACATTATATTGACTTTCACATAGGATAAATGATACATAAAATTGATGATTAGACCTGTAAACCTTTTGTTATAGAAGGATTTCTTTTTGGCATAAGATTTGTGATAAATCACTTTTTCTCTTGCATGAGGGTGTACCTCTGGGCTGTAGTGATGCTACTAAGGCAGATGCCTTTCCCAGGGCACAGCTGAGTTTAGAACAAGTACCCTCTGGGAAGATCTAGAACTATTCTGTAACCCTAAGCATAGAATCTCCAAAAACTTCAAGCTGCACCACATCTCACTGATCTGTACTCTCTGTATGATTATGTCTGAAGTCAGAAACATTCCCTTCAGTCCCCCTAGCTTTCTTTATATATACTAGAGAAGAAACTAACCAAAATTTTAATGCCGTTAGAAAACCCCTCAAATCTACATGTGAAAATGTGGTTTTATGGGTGGGAGGGTATTGGAGGGGTTGTCAGATGACAGAAGATATTGAGAGTGCAGAATTATTTCAAAGAAAAGTTCAGTGATGGCTTCTATGGAGCAGCGACAGCGTCATAGAGAAATTCTCCCTCATGAGAGCAGGCCCTGACCTCAGCTAGCCCCTAAGGCCGTCTGCCTCAGTGCCTCTCTGCTGTCCTTCTCCTGTGTACAAGTAAGTCCTAGGAATCATATCGATGCCTTGGCAAGTGAAACAGTAACCACACGTTACATTTTATTTAGTAATAGAAAATTATTTTAGAACTAAAGCCATTTTGAAGGATCATTTTCATCCTGTACATCATACTAAAAAAAAAGTACTCAAATTTATCAATGATGCCAGTTATTGGCTAAAAGCTAACCATATTTTAATGCGCAGTCACTATACCTTGTTTGTCTTTTGAATGAAAGTAGTTTAAAATCAGCAATCTTCCTTAAAAACAAAATTATTGGACTTAATAAGTCCTTATAGGTGGATGAGGTACTCTAGGGAGATGAGGCCCCGAGACGGCAGCATGGTGTGATTCAGTAGTGCTTGGCTCTCCCCTCCCCCCCGTCCTGTGTGCTCATTAAATTATTTAATAATACAGCTGCTCAGGCTCTTCCAAAATTACAAATACACTTCAGTAAGCGACAGGAAAGTGTTATAAGAGAGAACATCAATGAAGGGCTGCACTCTTTCCACCCAGGTTGTAGGAGAACTCAGTGCATTTGATGTGTTACTTGGCTTCTCTAGAATGGTTTTAACATTTTCCTTTCTGCCTGTTTGGGGGGATTTTGTCTGTAGCTCTTGCTTCCGGTGGCTCTCTTCCAATAACGTCACTGGATGCAACCGGGAACCTGGTATTTGCCAATGCAGGAGGAGCCCCCAACATCGTGACTGCCCCCCTGTTCCTGAACCCTCAGAACCTCTCTCTGCTCACCAGCAACCCAGTGAGCTTGGTCTCTGCCGCTGCAGCCTCCGCAGGGAACTCTGGACCTGTAGCCAGCCTTCACGCCACCTCCACCTCTGCTGAGTCCATCCAGAACTCTCTCTTCACAGTGGCCTCTGCCGGTGGGGCCGCTTCCACCACCACCACCGCCTCCAAGGCACAGTGAGCTGGGCTGCACGGGGCTGCCACTAGCCTTTTCCACTCGCGGCATGATGGGGCTGCCAGCCAAGCTGAGACTGAAAAATGTGATTGGCTTCCTCTTGCCATGTTTCAGCAGCAAGGGAAGAAGGGAGAGAAGGAAAAAAAAATGCATACCAGAACAACAAAAGGATGGAGACAGGACAACATTTGCCTAATTTTGTAATAAAACACTGTCTTTTCAGGATTGCTTCATGGATTGGAGAACTTTCTAACCAAAAATTAAAAAAAAAAAAAAAGCAGAAACAAAAAAATCAAAAACAAACAAAAAAAGAAGTGAAAGGACTACTTCTCATTTCCAGCAGTCATGGTGACAAGTTAAGGTGGGTACCAATTCCAATATAGGAAGGGGGTTTCTTGTTTGTCTAAATTTCTTTTTTTCTTAAAAAAAAATCATTTTTATGGGTCTGTTGTACAGGCCATTAAGTCATAACAAGGTGTTTATAATCGTATCAATTGTGTTGGGGGTTCCTTTCTTAACTGGTACAATTTAGGCAGGCCTGTATTACTGTATCTCTATTATTGTTGTTGTTGTTATTGTTTTTTATATATATATATAGTTTGGACATGTTTATCTCTTGCTCCTGGATCCTATTTCAGTGAGCTCCCACACTGTGGGGAGGGAGGGTTTGGGGGTCAGGGGAGACTTACGTTCTTAACTGCGGGGAATGTTCTTGCTGGTTTCCTTATCCTTGATGACTCTTACAGAGGTGCTAGAAAATTATTTTCTTTTGCCACTTATGCAAGAGGCTTGGTGCAGAAGCTGAAGGCAGTGTGTGCAAACACTCCCACTCCACACACGCCCCCTCCCCCCATCAGGTGGTGCCTTTCGAGCACTTTTGCGTAGGAAGGAATTCCTGCTGAACTGTAGCTCTCACTCACCCCAGATCATTGAATGACCCTGAGGCCCAGATCCTGCGGTGCACAGGTGCTGCTTCTGCCACTTTCAGCGGGAACAGCCATGCGTGTTGCAGGACGGGATCTGGGCCCGAAGAGCAAAGACTACTGCAGACACCTGACTTGGTGGTTCTCCTGATTTCTTATCTCCTGAAAAATGCTCCTACTGTTGGTGTGTTTGTTTGTTTGTTTGCATTTTGTGGAAGTTTTTCATCCAAACTTCCTTTCATTTACTTGGCAAAGAGCGAATTGACTGATTGAAATTGGGAAACTCCGCCCTTCTTTTGTTTTCTGAAGGAACTCCACTAGACTATTGCCATCCATTCTGTATCCCCAAAGAGGTGTGATGAGAAGAGTCTGAGGCCACCACCTTTGCTCTGGCCGCAGACCCCTTTTCACTGGACGGCGCGTAAATCCCTCTAGCCCTGAGACTCTCCTTGCTGCCCTGACTGGGGAACGCACTTACTAGCTGGGCATGGGGTCATTAGAACCTTTGAAGGACTTTGAGCAGGAACTTTGCACACACCTCAAGTGTCTCCTTGGTTTGTTAGTGATGCTCCAGCTTAGGCAGGTCACAATGGAAATACACGTCTCGCTGTACAATGTAGAAAGTGATATATAGCTTCTGGAATCGTTTTCAGGGTGTTTCTAGACTATGTACATGAGCCCACAGAGAGGAAGAGTTTATGGAAGTAGATGAAGAGGAATGGAGGGTAACATGGAAATTCAGTTCCCCTTCCTGTCAGTGTGCTGTCATTACAGTATCTATACCAGAACATTTCCCAGAAGCCGGGGTCACTGCAGTGGGGCTCATGTGAGCTCCCCTCCTTATCGGAGGTCAAGGTTCCCAGTTGGCATCTGTGGGTGCTTGCTTATGTCTGTCTCTGGTGGCCCAAGACTGCACTTGCCCCCCTTTCAAGCTGGGGTCTGAGAGAGGGTGTGTAGGTCATTTTCATTCTGATCGCTCTGCTTGTGTCCCCAAGGGAGCTTGGAATCTTTGTATTTGTCTCTTCACAGTGTTGAGAAAGGCAGTGACACAGACACAGTGCATATGTTTGTGATCATCCAAGTGGGAGACAGGCACCTTAATATTAAAAGGCCAGAAACATTTGTAGTCCCTTTGTTAGTTTTTCTTTCGTTGCTTCTGTCTTCCTGTTTTATTTCACAGAGTATTTAATTATCAACCTAAATTTCCTCTTCTTACCATTCACCTTCCCTAAAATTCCTCCCAAATCAGTGAACTGCAAGCAGGGAAACTAACAAATGTCCATCCACCTTTTTTATGTGTGGTGTGTTTTTTTTATGTTGTCGGGGGTTTTTTTTGTTTTTGTTTTTTTTTTAACTAAGCTTGAACCAAAGTCAATTTTTAGCAAGCTGCTGTACTAATGGACTAGTTTATAAACGTGCGTTTCAGACACATTGAGGAGATAGATGCTACTGACAATTTCTTTTTTCATTTGTCTTTATTAATTTTATATAAAAGTTGCTGCTTGTTTTAATCTTTTATGTTGGTAAATTGTAATATCCTCTGGGCAGACATTAACTTGATTTTAACTAGTGTATTTAGTTTGGTGTGTAAATAGAATGGCAGTGTCAGTTACTAATTTTTCTCCTCTCCATCTTGCTATTTCTCTGATGTAGTTACATTTAATTTGTTATCCTGACTTGACATGTCTAACTTTAGTCTGCGTAAATGGTTTTAGGGCAATCGGTAATACTGTGGTGCCCGGTGGAATGAGTCCCTCCCTCGGGAGAGGTAAGTTAGGAGGAAGGATTCAGGGAGGGAAATGCTGATACCCACCATCCTGGATTAGAGGTTATAGCATTAATTTCCCAAAACTGCTACCAAAGGAAGTATGGAGTCCTTCAAGACTCAAACCCAATGGGTTAAAAGGAAGGGCAAGGAAAGGCTGTGCTTGTTTGTTTGTTTTCCTGTGTGGTTCAAAAGATGCTCCCTCTCCCAAATAAGATTCACCAACAGACTTCAATATTTTGAAAGATCTTAAGCTTTAAATGTCAGTATGATGGTCCTCTACTCCCTGCCTTGTCTGTATTCTCTAGTCAATCTGGGATAAGGAGATTCTGCCTTTTTGTGTGTGTGTGGATCCACTTTAGGAGGATAAACCTTAAACCAGCATAAAAATCTGTGTTTAAAAGAAATAAATCCTTAGACAAAGGTAACTTTTTAAATTTTTCTCATTTTTTTTCTTAAAGACAAGTTGTAAAATGAAAAGTACATTTGTACATGAACACATGAAACACTAAAACCCTTTGTTGATGGGTGTTGAGCTTCAAATCACCTCCCCATCACCACCCCTAGATATTCTGCTCATCAGACTGCTTCATGACTCAACCTTTAGTCCATTTTACTTTATATTCTTTTATCATCTCAAGAAATGCGTTTTGAATTGAGTGAATCTCCTCAGCTAAGGTACTCAAACTTAACTTTAAACCCCTTTATACAGAGAGTCTGGAAATTAAGGGGACCATTTGATCAAAAAGAGGCGTTTGGTAGAGTTTCTAAGCGGATGGGCTAGATAGGTCATCATAACTCATTGTACATTCTTTTTTCCTCCTAATAATTATGCAAATTTTATTTCATCCCTGAATTTGGTGAATACATATTAAACCAAAGACTAATTCTGAATGCATTTATAGTGATACTCTATTTGCCCATGGTAATGGGCCCTCCCTAGGGCGTGGTGAATGTAATTGAATCCTGCTTATCACAAGCAGTGCAGTTTGCTCATGAACTGTATTTATATGGGTCTGAGGGACAGAGCAGAAAGACTTGGAAAAGCGCTTCTTGTAGGAACAGTATTGTTGTTCCTAATTTAAGAAGTTGAGTGCTCTATTAGTTCAAATGTTTCTGAAATTATATAGGCAGCTTTTTAGAATTAAAAAAAAAAAAAAGGTCATCTCCATTACCTGACCCAATATACACTTCCTTTCATTTGGTTGATAAGAAAGACCAATACCATCCCAATTTACTCAACTTATTACTCAAGAAGTGGAACCAAAGGAATCCAACTTCCATTTTGTGTAGGACCATACGTGTCTGTACTTTGTGGTGGCATTATTAGACATTAACAATCTTTTTTTTTTAAGGGAAAATAAGGTTATAATGAAAAGATTTTTAGTGAGATTATGCAATTTTGTTCTACATAATTCATCGTTGGGGAAAAAAAGCACAATTATACCTCTTTTTTATATTATTTTCTCCTGTTCTCATGTATATATGGGAAGGTAGGGGAAACCTTGTCTGTATTATCCAGAAGCACAGATATTGCTCAACACAATATTGAAGGTCAGCCCAATCTTCAGCATTAAATTTTCTATTTAAATTGCTGGGAATGCTGGATATATTTGCAAATATAGGAAATCATTGCAGATTTTTAAAGTTATAAATCTGATAGTAAACATTGCAATTAGTGTAGAATAAACACTTTGCTTACAGAAGAAACTCTTTATAGTTCTGGTCTCAAGTACCCAACCCTGGTCATCCTCACAAAACTTTCTTCACCAAGAAAAAAATAAACCCGTTGAGATAGGAAGATAAGGGAGAAGTGCTGGTGTAGAGAAGTCCACAGGCACCAGGGCTGGTGGAGGCAGTGATGGTGAGGGCACCCCACAGTCAGTCTGTAGTTTGACAACCCTCAGTCAGAAGAGAGCCTCAACAATTTGTTATATTTTGGCCAAATACTTTTTTTATTAAATCAGCATTTAAATTAATTTAAAGTTTGTTTATTCTTCAAACCATGATTATTGGAGCTGAAAATGTCAAGAGACCATCAGTGTTGACAGAAAAAAATGACTTAAGTCCTGAAATTTAAAGTTATTCAAGAATTGATGGATTACTTTGATCGTAACCATTATGAGTTCATTTTTGTATGTGTGTGAAAAGCATGTAATGTGTGACATTGTTCATGTGGTCATAGCCCTGGCCATTTTGAAGACGACACTATAAAATGGTAAATCTTTCTAAGCAATTACCTTCATTTTTGAGAAGGAAAAAGAATCTTTTGCCATTCTTTAAAAAAAATAACTAAGATCCGCTATTATGCAAGTTTGCATAATGGCAGACACAGTACAAATGTGAGCTTGGACAGGAATAGGATAAATAGACTGCTTTTTTCATTAAAAGCTGATACTAATCCTGTTCTGCCTCATTCTTTTCTTAATCCAAAGGGATTAAATGGGATACCCCTGAGATTTCCAGTAAGATATTTGAAAGGATTCCATTAGGAGGGCCGGGAACATGCTTTTTCTCAGATTTGTCCAGTTTACACTCAGATTTCCATATGATTTGTAACCTGGTGCTTTCTTCTAATTGTCCTTATTCATGAAGCACTTGGTTCTTGTTTTGGCTCTTCTACTCTTGGCCTTTTCTAAAAGCAGTAGCTTGAGTGAGTCTTTCTTTGATTCTTTGACCTGGAGTTCCTTTCCCTCCGCCTTCTCTTCCTTTTCTTTTTGAATGGTGATAACCTTAATCTGTGAGGGTAATGCTGGTGGGTAACAGCTAGCTTCTGGCACCTTCATAAAATACCTCAGTGTAGCTTAGCATTGTTGCAGACCTGGTTTTAATCTAAAAACCAAATAAATAAAAAGAAGAAAACTTTATAAATAGTGGAAATAATTCTAGCTGTAGCATTTAGTTGAACTGATGTTTATTATGATAAACATGATTGATGCTGTATGTATTTGGGATCCTGTTTATAGGTTACAATTTATAGGGTTAGGGAGGGTTGGGATGGGGAGAGGAGGAGTTGATTATGTTAGAAGGAAAATGTTGCTCATGTGTTTGTTTTTCCTTATATCTGTCTTGCCAAAGGAAACTTGATTATCCCTGTGATGGGTTGGGGATTCATTGGCCTCTCTGTGGTTTGACTCGCTTTGCAGTGTGTGGTGGTGGTATGCAGGTTACATATGGGTTGTCCTGGAGGTTCAGGGTCCCCTGAGGCATTCACTCCCTTCCTATGGGACCCTTGCCACCAGACCCTGCCATTCTCCCCTAAGGACTCATTACCTCTATGTACCAAGAGCTTCGGTAAAGGGTGTATGTACGGAATCTGGGTGTGTGGTTGAGAAATAGGCAGAAATAGACATGTGCCACTTAATTTGGAGAGGAAAGAGGAGTGTGTGATGTATCTTGATCGAGGAAAACTGAAGTAATACCCGTTCTTTTTGTCACCCTGTCATGTTATTGAATGTTGTGCTAATAGGCCAACATTTTAAAACCCTACTTCCTTTTTTCATACCAAGGCTATTTCTGTCTAGACCAAAAATGCAAACAGAAGTAAAACTAAACCAAGCAGTTGAAAGCCAACCTGCTTGCCTCACATGTGTGATAAGCATGACCTTTAGGGATTGGTAGGTTGGTGAGATTGAGGAGAGGATTGTTCTTGCTGAGAATGTGAATGAGAAATCATACTGGTTTAGGAGAAATTAAAGAGCCCCTTCTGCCCATACAGACAGACTGTCTTGGTTCCCCATGTTCAGATATGGATTGTATCTCAAAAAAAAAAAAAATCATACTGTATCTGATTTTTAAATAAACCATCCATCTCACAGAACTTGAGTGGGATTTGGTTTAGATACCAAAGACACTGCTATGTCATTGTTCATTCTTAAATTTTTAAAACAGGCAGAAAGAATAGGAGTGAAAGGTTGAAATGTGGGAAAAGCTGTACCTATGTCTCTTTTCTCTCCTCCCTTACCCACTTTTTGAATGAAGTCTTGTTGGTTATCCTGGTTTTAGAAGAGAGATCGATTTGGTTTCACTCTGCTGACTCTGTAAAGATGGGTAGGGTTGCTCAGTGTAGCCTTGATGTTCTTGGAATTGCTGGCAAATTATGGGGGGAGAGCAAAAGATGAAGGTAAATTTTTTTTCTTTATTTCCCTTTATCTAACGCTTATAAATAAAACCAGTACAGCCTGTTTGAGTTCAGATGATACCTAGCTGTGCTGTCTCTGTTGTGTCACTTGTAAAGGATAAGCATTTTCAAGAGCAGGATTACATGGAAAACCAATAGACTGTCCTTTACTCTCCCAGGGAGCTTTATCTTTCCAAAATGATTTTGTACATGAGTTCTAGGGAGTTAAGAGTTTCATTGTCTTGGTGTACTATTGATGGGACACAGAAAGATGAGACATTTATTGCTCTCAATATTCTGTCAAAAAATGATCAGGTTGCAGAACGTCATGAAAGCTTTACTAATAATCTAATTGTTCTGACATTATATAAAAGTGGTATTACTATTGTGTGACTTTTCAAAGTGCTAGATAGGTTTGTAAGTAGGCAATAGGGTTATAGAAAGTAAGAGCACTTGACACAGAAGTTACAGGAAACAAGGTGTGCTTGATGGAACACCACTTTGAGCACAGAAGTGAGCCTCCCCAGGCCAGGGAGGGAAGGTGCCAGGTCTGGTTCTTTCTCTGCATCTGCCCACTCTGCGCCCGGCTCTGTCACCCAGCACCACCTTCGGGTTCAAACCCAGGACACTGTCAAAAAGTTCAGACCCCAAAAGTAACTTACTGTAAAAAAAAAAAACAAAAAACAACAACAACAGCAACAACAACAACAAAAAAAAAAAAATTGAGGTCTGCTGCAAAGTTCCCCCGTGTTTTCTCTCTTCACTTGTTCATCCTTGTTTTAAGTCAGCCACCACCTTGCAAAAGCAGCTTTTCGGGCTTCTTTCATCACCTGGCAGCAGCATTGAGTTCTCTAACATTATATCCTGAAGTCTGCAGGCAGACGGCCGGATACGGTGCTGGGTAAAAAACGAAACATCAAATCCTTCTTTATAATTGGAATCTCCTTTGAATGAAAACAGTAAGAAAGGACAGAGTCCTCCCAGTGTCTTCAAGTCTGACAATACAGCAGGAAAGGAAATGCACTTTCAGAGGCTACAATATAGGCAGTTATGTCAGGAAAGGCTATCTGTAGGTGGGTGCGGTGCCACGTCCCAGAGTCCAGTCCCGCACGGACTTTCCTAAGAGTGGAGCAGAATGATGCCTGCCCCGGTGGATTTAAGACTGCAGACACGGGGTGGGGGGTAGGGGGCACGGGGAGGAAGGAGCAAGACACCTTGCAATCGTACTACAAGGCGGCCCTTGGCAACATCGGAGGTGTGGGGCCCCTGAGACCAAGGGAGAGAGGCAAGACTTCCAGCTCCTCCCCTCTGCCCTAGGGAGCACTGCACCGTATTACTCAGCCCCCTCCCCCACATTAGACCGTAGTTCCAGTCCCTTTCTCTATGGTTGTAGCAAAGGCTAGGTGAGTAAGTGTGGGGCTTCTGCCCACCTCAAATCCAGGAGCTGTTGTATACCTCATTTCTAACTCGTGATTGAGTAACTTGCTTTAACTTTCTCTAAACCCTACAGAGTTGCCAAGTCTGCCCTCCCTCCTCTAAGCAATGTTGAACTCTGGCCTATAGCATCACAGGACCTGTAGCCTAGGGTGGGACCTCCTAAAGCCTCTGAATGTCGCTGCTGAAAAGCTACTGCAAACTGAGGGCAAATTGCAATCTTCTATTTCTTTTTGTTGCAAGGGGTCTTCACAGGTCTCTTAACATCTCCTTTCCCTGCCACCCTGCCTTCAGGGGCTGGCCAGCTCTCCACTCCCCCACCCCCCCAGCCCACATTTTAGATTTCCCTAGTGGGTGGAGGCCATCCCCTTCCTCTCTGAGGCCTCAGGGTTCTGCTTATTTTCAGGACTTTGGGTGGAAGGGAAAAGACACCAAAGGCTCCTTTAAGCTGACTGCTGCATACACATTTCACTTTTTTTCCTTTGACATGACCAAAAAAAAAAAAAAATCCAAATATTTAAGTTTTTATTATTAATATTATTATTATTTGACAATCTTGTATCCAATGGGCTCTCTAGAAGCTGCATCCCCAGCCCTTTCACCTTTTCTTTGAATGTAGTTCCCAACCTTTGATTCCCACCCCCAACGTTGAAAGAAAGCTTTGCCAGGTCTTAATACTGCTGCTATAAGCCAGGGGAGGGTGGTTTCTTTGTTTTGTTTTGTTTTTTAAATTTCCAGCCAAAACCAAAGATTCCTTAATGATTGTATAAACTCAAAACAAACAAAAAAACCAAAGAAAAGGGAAGTCTTCAGCATCAATCCAGTCTGTGGCGTCCTGGCATTTAGAGGAGTGAGGCTAGGGGTGGGATGGGGACCTCTGACCCACGGGAAGGGTAGGGGGCTCTTTTGCCCGTGTTTTGGAGTTTGTGGAGGTGCATCCTCAGTAGCTTTGGCCCTGGCCAGCTCGTGAATGTGCCGTGGGGAAAATTGGCATTTCAGACTTTCTAAAACAGACGAAACGCCATCACCCGGATGCTCCACCCGACAATAACCACGGTCACCACAGGGGCTCAGCACAGGGACTGGGAGGCTGGGGATGCTGCTGGACCGCTGGACCCACAGAGTGGGGGGAAGTTGAAGACACTGGTGCAGGACTGGCTGCTCTGCTGGGTGCTTGGACCTCTGGGGTCATGACAGTGAGTACACGCCAAGGTGCCCTTCTGAGCCTTTTCTCTTTTCCTTTACTGGAACTGCTTGGAAGTGGCTGCCCTGTTTGTGAGAAAACATGCAGAACGATTACCAAGCTTTTCATGTATCCTTGCTGTAGTTGGTTTCCTTTGGCAGCACCACTGTGCAACTATGCATTGTATCTCACAACCTTTGTGCTAGGTAGATGCCTGTGACTTTTTAACTTGGGGGGTGGGGGGATTGCAAATGAAGGAACTTTTTACATGGATCTTTTTAATCTCAGTTGATTGGGGGAGGGGGGTATTTGGTTCTAGGGTCATACAAGCTCTATCCCAAAGCAAAATCCAAATGTTAATAATATTAGCCTGATGCAGATACCAAAGATGATTTCTTTCCTGCAGAACCTTAGACTTGTGTATTAAGTACGATTACCCAGCACTTGCATTAGTCTAACCTCAGTAATTCCAAAGCTTAGATGTATATTTTGGTATATTTCTGGGATATTAAAAAAAATGTCGTTTAACTTCTTGTTTGTTTCAGTGTAATGCTCTTAAAGTCATAGCATGAAAATAACTGAACTGTCCTATTCTTAGTAGTTTGAAATAATAGTATTTTTGTATGTTTTGGGTGTGTCTATGTATTAACATAACAGTTTTCACTGCCTAGGTGTTCATAATAAAAAAAGAAAATGAAAAAGTTCTGAGTGTACATAATATTCAGTAATAAACTTCCACCAGGTTCAATTTGGTTTGCATATTTGCTGATTACTGTTCCCAACTGGGATTTTGTTTTGTTTTAAAGAGACAGTGATCGTGTTTTCCTAAAGATGTTTTCTCTCTCTCTCTCTCTCTTGTCTTTTAATATCTTAACTCTCCCCCACACTTTTTTCTTTTCCTTTTCCTTTTTTTTTTTTTAATATTGATTCAGGGGTGTTTTTCCACTGTTGTCAAGGGAGGGTCATAAGGGGGACTGACCCCCTGGCCTCCTAGAACTTTTTGTTTTATGTACTTAAGTTTAAAATGTGAGTTTGAGTTCTCTTTTGTGGAAACTTAAGATGTGGTGTAAATGATTCTTTCCAAAATTGTCCAGCAGCTTTAATGAGGCAGTGACGGTTTCTGAGTAGTTGGTTGGGAGTCCTTTGACATTTCTCCTTAGATAACTTTGCAGTCTGGGTGGCTATTGTGTAGCCTCACTGCCCCAGAATGCCTGCTTAGCCATTTCCCCTTGATAGGGATGTTTTCTAAGAATCTGCTGATAACTTGGAGTTTGGGGGACCTTGTTATCTGGGCCCCTGGGAAACATGTGTTTTCTTGATTTTGAAAATCCAGAACACAAGCAACTTTACATTTGGGGGAATTAGCTGATGTGCCTCCCAGAGGCTTAAGGAGGTGGTGGGGAATATGAGCGGTGCTGTCTCTTTAAAAGTGCCCTTTATATGATTCCCCCTCCTGGGGCCTCCTGCAGGGGCTGTAGGCTTGGGAGAGATTGCGTAGGTGACAGTGAATCAGAATGAAATGGTAGATTTTGTGTAGATGCATTTGTCTGCTGTAATTTTTATATATATATTAAACTTACTGTAACTGTACAGTTCGTTTCTGTTGTAAAACATCATTAAACCATTTTCCAAGTGTTTTCACATTGTTGGAGTTTCCTTGAAATTGTATGTTGGTGTTCTGGATGCTTCCTGCACAGAGGGCCACCTAGGCCTTCTGGTTGGTGTTTTCCAGAAAAGCAGGAGCTCCCAGGAGACCCAGGCACATGGGTTCCTGGGTCCTACTGTGCGTTTCCGCCTGTGCCCATGGGCCCTGCAGCCACCACACCTCTCCACCCACCTTCCCAGACCTTGGTCTAGAGTTCCCCTGCCTCCTCCTCGAAGGAGTAGCTTTAGTCCCCTTCACACCCCAGGGCTTCATGTGACCGAACACACAGACCCTTGACCGCTCCTGTGCCAGAACTCTTCAGAGCTCCCATTTCACTTGTGTCTGACGGCAGACCTGGTATTGAGCTTGACTTTTCCACACTTACTGTTTATATTCTCTTGTGCCCCTCCAGCATTTCCTGCCACATCCTGAACATCCACTAGTCCTGGACGTGGCATCCACTTCTGTCGGAGGGTACACAGCTTAGCATAGCTCCCTCCCTCCGGCTTATACTAGTTCACAGGTAATGTCTTGATGCAATTTGTCATTTGAAAATGTGAATCTTAAAGTGAATTTCCCACGGAGAGCAAACCTCAGCTTGTCGAGCTTTCAGACAGAGGCATTCCTGTCCAGATAGGAGTGTGTGCTCCGTGTCTCAAGACGGGCTTGCTGTCCTCTCCAGGGCCCACCGTGGGAAGACAACGGCTCTAACTCGCCGCTCCTGCATCTAAGAACCCGTCATTCTTTACCACTCCACCCCTTCTTGTATTTAGAGCTTGCACATAAGTTTGGGGAGTTGTTTCCTTAAAACAACTTGGAGTTTTCAATAGAAATCCTGTTTGGTAGAGACAGTGGCATGCTCACTAGCATGGGAAAGACCTCAGAAAACAAACCCATTTGTCACACCCTAAAGAATGAGGGTACAGTACTGATGAGATCAGTGTCCTGTTGCCCTTTTTAAAAACATGGTTATATTCTAACCCACTTCTGGTTGGCATCTGCCAAGCCAGATTACCTGGGAGATGATGTAAGTAACATCTGCTCTCATTGCCGCCTTTCCTTTCTCTAAAAACTAGGGCTTGAGGTTATAGGGCATGTGTCGTTAGACAGTAGGCACAGGTTCACAGGCATGTCCAGTACCGGGCTACCGAGCTGTGGCCGGAGTTACCCGTGGACAGGTCAACAGCTGACCAAATGACCGGGCTTTGAGTCCCCTTTGGAGCCATCCTGTACACTTGAATTGATCGTCTGTCCTGTTGTACCAGCCAAACCTGGGCTTCAGTGACTATCCTGTGTGTAAACCCAGGAGCCTTGAGTCATATTCCGGGAAGAAGAAAAACTGATCAGAAGTATTCACATCCTACCTGATTTTACTAACATCAAAGTAATGACAGTTTTGAAAAATACTCTGGAAGCTTCCATTTTCATTTACACACACTCATAAAATGTTTTGGTTCCTCAGTGCAAGTGAAATATGGACGCATCTTCATATTTTAATCCTCTTAAAATGGATGTTTATGTGAAGAGTGGTGTTTTTACTTACAATGAGTTCCTGGCACATCTCATACAATCAGTAACTTCCTGGGATGAAAGGGATCCAGTTGTGCTTCAGGGAGAAGACGGCCAGACCCGGAGTAGGACAGGAACTGGGCAGCCCGGGGACCCTGCCCCGGGCCCTGGGGTTCGTTCTCCCGGTACAGGCTCAGCTCACCAGCTGTCTTCTCTGTGTCTTGCCTGTGGTCCCACGAGTGTCCTCGCTCGCTCGCCCACCCACATCTGCTGCAGCACCCACACCTCATTGCCAGCTCTCCTCCCTGCCTCTTGAGTCAGATTCTTGACAGAAGTGGGTTAGACTCTGAATTCAAGCCAGCCACATGGGTCACATGGCCTGTGTAGAATTCAGCAGACTTTGAAACTAGGTCTGCGGTGTGAGGCCAACCGATGAACTCAACTTCAGTGTTTAGAAAGCCTGGCGAGTAGAAGATGAAGGAGTAGCAACCCCAAAGCGGCTGTTGTCTGGGAATCAAGGCAGCCAAAGCTACACACCATTTCCCACTCCCTCACCTGGTGACCAGGTCACATAATTCAGGCTGGCCGGCGTCAGAAGCCTTCTCCCATGAAACCTGCCCCATGTCTCCAGCCCCTTGTGGGACTCTGCACCCCTGCACTGGCAGCTCCGCCTCCCTGCCTGGCTGTGGGGTACCACAACGCAGCCTTCCTGGGATGTGGCCGGAATCCTGTGGCAGATGTTCAGTCCCTCCCTAGTGGCTTGCAAAGTGCTGGGCACAGGAATAGGTGCAGGGTAGATATTTATTGACAAATCAAATTCCCCCTATGAGGCCAGGTTACAAAACGAATGTCTTCCCTTTATAGGTGTCCTATGTGCACCTAGTGGAGATGCGAGTCACTCCTGCTGCAATCTCAGATTCCCCAGGGCCTCTAATGGCCAAGACCTTGGGTTTTGTTTTTTTTTTTTTTTTTTTTTTTTTTTTTTTTTTTTTATTCATGATAGACATAGAGGCAGAGAGGCAGAGACACAGGCAGAGGGAGATGCAGGCTCCACGCAGGGAGCCCGATGTGGGACTCGATCCCGGGACCCCAGGACCATGCCCTGGGCCAAAGGCAGGCGCTAAACCGCTGAGCCACCCAGTGTTGGGAACCCGACCTTGGGGTTTTGAACTCAAAGTCTACCCAGTGTTAACTGGCTGCTTGATGAGTTGGGGCCTCTTTTATAGCCACTACGTTTAGAGAGAAGCTGACCTGGAAAGACCTGTCATCCTCCAGCCTGCCCCAAACCCTACAAACCGAGGTTTTGTGCCGTGACATCAGCAGCCATTCACAACTCCCAGCACCCTCTGCTGACAGGGGCCGCTCCCTAGCCTCCCTCTGCCTGTACTGCAGTGGCTGGCACAGAGCTGGGTGCTGGGTGCCAGGAGCCGTGCACCCCGGGCCGCATCCCAGCCGCTTCCCACAGGCCCCTCACGGCCCGGCCCGGCCTGCAGCTCCTCTGTGGCCCCGAGCAAACTGCATCGTGTATGGCAGCCCCCCGGCCCCTGGGTGCCCCTGTGCCCACCTGCAGGCCCCAAGGAGCCACCCTGCTCTCTGGGGTGTGCAGTTTCTCCCCACGGCTGGATTAGCTTCACCTGCTGGACCACCCAGAGAGAGCCCAGGGTAAAGGCAGCATTTTCACCAAAGCGTTTATTGTGCAAAAGAGTAAGTAAGGCTTTAGCAAACCAGTATAAATTAAGACCAAGCAGAACAGAGAGGGTTACACATGAGACCTCCCACAGCAATGTTCTTGGTAGTCCACACAGGGTGTCCACAGGGGTGTGCGGGGCCGGGCCACCTGTGGAGGCCTCGTGGGGACAGGGAAGCTGGCCCTCCCTCTGGGTGCTTCAAACAGGTGCCTGGAGATCGTGCCCTATTGCTCCCTTCCCTCGCCCCTACACTCTGCACTTCCTCTGCTCTTTGAGGCCAGTTTCTTCCCGGTTTGTGTCCCCCATGAGAGTGAGCCCCATGACGGCAAGCACCCTGGTTCATCACGGGGTCCCCGGAGCACCTAGCCTCCAGGTGCTAAGCCCTGCAAGGGGGAACGGATGCCTGTCCGCCCCACACTCCAGCCCATGCTCCCCTTCACCAGCCCCTGAGCTGTACCTGCAGAGGCTCTCCTCCCCTCCCCACCTCTACTCAGGCCTGTCACCAGGAGGCACAACAGTCCCTTGGCCTTGATTACAAGTTCCCCTGAAATGAGGCAAACAGAAGCCAAATTTACAGCAGGAGCAAAGCCATTCAAATACTGACAGAACACTAAAAACTATTAGGCTACGTGCAAACACTGGGGGGTTCTCAGGGGACCTGACAAAACAGACTGAACACGGCTGTGAGAAGCGGGTGCCCATCTCCCAGGTAAGAGCCTGGGGCTTCCAGGGTAGGGGCCCGGCCACAGTCTCCATCAAACCCGAAGAGCCCAGAGTGTCACAACTCTTCCTCGAGGACGGGCCATAAGCTTGGGGGAGCACTCCCCTACAGAGCCCGGGGACGATGGTTGAATTGGATATGACCGAATGTTACAGTGCAAAGTACCCAATTCATAAAGAGGGAATACTTTGGCGGTGGAGAAATACGAGTGAACCGGGTTATAAACGCTTTATCCTGTGTCTTTAACAATCTGGGCGTCTGCGGAGTTGGCCTGTGTTCGGTGGGAGACCTGGAGCTGTTAGCGAGGAGGTAGGGCCTGCATGTGGAGGGCATCGTAGGTGTCCTTGGTGGCCGTGCTGAGCCCCTAGAAAGCAAGTCAGGAAAGAAAAGTGGGTCAGGAGCTCCGTGCGGGCACCGGCCTACCTAGAGGTCAAGTGGAACTGGACCAGTCCTCTCCTGGCGCTGGTGGGGCCGGCCCGGGGAACTGCAGGACGAGGGTCTCCCCACTGCCGGCAGTGGCCCTGGAGCAAATCCCTCCCAGCTTCCCAAGTCCTGAGCCCTGCAGTGCGTGGCCCCAGAAGGGCTTCCCAACAGGATTGGGCCATCCCTGAACATGGAGCTGGAATCAAGGTTTGCTCCCCAGAGTTGGCCATCCCTGACACCCGGGCTTCCAGGAAGCCAGGACTTGTCACCAGAAGATGGTGGCTCCCTGACCCCAGCCTTCTCCCATCAGCCTCCTTCCCAGGCCACCCCACTACAGTTGCGTTCTCTGTCAGGGAGCAGGCAAGCTGGCCCCAATCCCACTGGAACACCACTCCCTGGCCCAGAAGACAGATCAAAGCAGCCACACACAGAATATTCTGGGGGCCCTGTCTGACATCATTCTGGACTCGGGCAAGCTGGGCAGCCTGGCACTTTGGAGCCAGTCAAGCAAGCTGTGAAGAGCCCAAGGGAGCCAGAGGCAGCCAAATAAGAACCCACTGGGGATTATATTTTAGAGAAGTAGGTTGGGTATGTTTGTTTTGCATAATGCTTCACACTGATTTGCATAAACCAGGCACCTGACTATAACAACACTTTCTTTTTAAAGTTATTCTCTCGATTTTTAAAAAAGATTTTATTTATTTATTTATTCATGAGAGACACAGAGAGAGGCAGAGACAAGCAGAGGGAGCAGCAGACTCCCTGTGGATTCAGGACTTGATCCCCAGACCCCGGGATCACACCCTGAGCCAAACGCAGATGCTCAACCACTGAGCCACCCAGGCATCCTCTTGATTTTTTTTTTTCCTTCAACTTTCCCACCCATCCACCCATCTTCTTAGGTCTGAGGATACATGCAGAGCAAGGCTTCTTGCAAGGGCCCAGAGCAGCAGAGGAAGAGGCAGGAAATTGCTTGTGTGGGGTCCTTTGCCTACTTCATCCCTTTGGGCAAGACCACACGGCCTCTGGGAACTGCTGCTTATCCGGGGCCATGCCTGGGGGCTCCCACCGTCTCCCAGCTGGAGCCAGCTCGTTGGAACCAAGTCGTGTCTCCAACAGCTGACTCCCAGCCATGCCCCCAGGGCCTTACTGACAGAGGTGGCACTGGGACCCGAATTAGGGCCTGGGATCTGCCCTGCCCAGCCGATGGCATGAGCTGGGTGCCACCAGCAAGCAAAATGTGGAGTCTAGCCTTGCCCTTGATTAGAGGGTTCCACCCAGGGAAGGAGCGCCCACAGCGCACACCAGAGGCACCGCAGCTTTTACCTGGTAAAGGCCATCATGCCCCTTCCCTCTCCGACGCTGGTTCTGTGGGAAGGAGACAAAAGGGCAGGAAGTCAGAGTCCTGCTCAAGGCCCTAGACAGTCAGAGGGGACTGTCTCCCAGTTGTACCCCTGCCCCTGGAAGAGAGGGGTCCTCGGGCCACTGGGCAGATCTTACTCTGCAGGTAAGGTGAGGACCGGCTTCGAGGGGGCCCAGGCTTGCTCTGCCCCATTCATGTCCCCAGAGCCCTAGAACCCAGGCTGCACGGGAGCTGGCCATGTTGCCTGCCACTTGGAATAAAGGGGCTTCCCTGCTGCTCCAGAATTCCTGGCTACTCATGAGTGTTCCCTGGGAATGACAACCATAGAGTGGTATGAGCCCTGGCTACAGGGTCCATTACATCTGGTCACTACAAGTGACCTGGAGTAAGATATTTACCCTCCTGTGCCTTACAGGGCACACATTTCTCATTGGGTTCTTGTGAGGATTACATGAGACCACCAACCTCGTAAAGCATGTGAGGGGCCCCAATTTCCAAATGGTGAGCCTGGCCCCAGAAGGGCTTCCCAACAGGACTGGGCCATCCCTGAACATGGAGCTAGAATCAAAGTTTGCTCCCCAGAATTGGCCATCCCTGACACCCAGGCTTCCACGAAGCCTCGCTCACCATTTGGAAATTCTTTTTTTTTTTTAAGATTTTTATTTATTAGACACAGAGAGAGAGGCAGAGACACAGGCAGAGGGAGAAGCAGGCTCCATGCAGGGAGCCCGACGTGGGACTCGATCCCGGGTCTCCAGGATCACACCCCAGGCTGCAGGCGGTGCCAAACCGCTGTGCCACTGGGGCTGCCCATGGAAATCCTTAATCTTTTAGAAATAAGGGGCGCTGCATTATCATTTTACCCTGAGTCCCAACGTCCTCAGCACTAAACACACCATGGCACACATTAAGCCCTTGATGGCACCAGTTATCAATGAGTGGTGACATCTGACTGGCTTTCACAAAGCTTAGTCTTAGAATCTAGACTGGGTTCCTGAAAGAACACCAGCCTTTCCTATCTTATGTGCTATCAAGGGGGTGAGAACTGGATTACCCCTCGCCCCTGGCAGCTACCACGGGGGCTTCCACAGGTGATACGAGAATGGCTGCGAAGGGCCAGGATGGAAGCCTGGAAGGGTTACCTAGAAGGTGATGAGGACTCCCTGGGAGCACCCCCACCCTGACCAGTCCTTAGGAATCAGCACTCACCTCGCTTTTTATCCCAATCTCACTGTAGGCCTCTGCCATCTTGTCTTTCTGCAGTGCCTGGCAAAGGAGAGGGCATGGGACACTGATTAACTGCTGCACAAAACAGCGGGCTTCCCTACACGAGGGAGCCTCTCGACTTCCCAGCTGGCAGGGAGCCCCCACACTCAAGGCTCCAGTCATTCCCACAAGCATCTCTGGCCACAGCCAGCTCCACCCTTACCCTTCTCAGCCCTTTGGACTCCTCTGAGCCGCCAGCCCTTTGCACCGAGCTGAGAAGCTCAGGTTAGGTTCAAAGATAAAATGCGGAATTCTAGCCAAAGAACACAAACGTGAACAAATGCGAGGGCTGGCCTGGAGTCCCCAGAACCATTTATTTGAGTAAGTTGTGTCTTTACATGGCCAAAGCCAGGGGTTGTGACTCCACCAATTGCAGGAAGGAAGGAGAGGCAGCTCTGTCTACAGGAGTGACCACCTGTGACAGTCCCCTTCGTGGCCAACCCAGATCAACAGCCTGAAAACCACAGTCAGGTCCGCACCGAGTGGTGAGACTGACCTTCCGACAAGAGGTGGCACTCAGGAAGAGACTCGAGCCTCCAGAAGCAGGAGTCCCCCAGAGGGGCTTGCCACCCTGTCCTTGCCGGGCCTGACCTTGCTGTTCCCCAGGCCCATCTCCAGGGAAGCCCAACAGCAGACTCAGGGACTGGGGAGGGAAGGCAAGTGAAGGGGTTGTCCCCCAAACAATCAGCTGCTGCAGCCAGCAGGCAGGGAGGTCAAGGTCAGGCAGGGAGGTCAAGGTCCAGTGAGGCAGACACAAGGCAGGGAGCACTATTCCCAGAGCCCTCCACCCACCTCCCTCCTGCACTCACATTGTACACGACCTCCTGAGGGTTCCTCTTCCTCTGCGGGGGGGAAAAACAAGGAGGAGGTTAGAGGCGGAGAAACCAGGAGCCAGGCCTGGAAAGTTGTAAAAGCATCCATGAACCCCCCACCCCGGGCCACCTGCTCCGCTGCCCTCCCTGCTCTCCCCATCACCTGTGCCCCCTCTGCTCTCCCTGCCCTCCACACCCATGCCCCACCCCTGCCCTGCTCTCCCACACACCCATGCCCCTCCACCCCCCGTGGCCCTGCCCCCCATCCACACCCGTGCCCCCCCCCCGACCCCTGCACCCGTACCACCCCAAACCCCGGCCCTCGCAGCTCTGCTGCAGCCCCTGCTTCCTAGTGCACACTCGCACACACCCTTGCACACTGGCTTCACCTCCCCACATGGCCTCCCCAGTCCAGCTTTGCCCAGGGCAAGCCTTGGGGTATCTGCAGGTGGCAGTCCGTGTGTCCCCTTGCAGTTACAGTGCCACAGGTGTCATAAACTTACAGGTGGGGTTTCTGGCTGAAAATGAAAAGTCCTGGGCCAACCAGTGCCCAGCAAGCCCTACTGACCCCCATTACCCACCTCTTTTCACCCCTCCCCATCCAGGGTTCAGGGTCCAGATAAGAGGAGGAGAGAAGAGCTGATGCGGAGGGCAGAGGCCGAGGAAACTGCCAGCGTCTCCTCCTGCCCAGCACCCGGCTCAGACGGTGGACACGTGTGACCAGGAACATCAGGGGCTGCTGGGCATCGTCGGGCAGCACTGCCCTAAAGCCTGGGCAGCCTGGGCCTTTGGGCTGAACCCTACTTTTTTTTTTTTTTGTTTTTTAAGATTTTATTTATTTATTTGAGAGAGAGAGAGCAGGGGGAGGGGCAGAAGGAGAAGCTGGCTCCCCGCTGAGCAGGGAGCCCAATGCGAGACTGGATCCCCGGACCCCGACATCATGACCTGAGCTGAAAGCAGACGCTTAAGTGACTGAGCCACCCAGCGCCCCTGGACCTGCGCCTAGAGGACCCTGCCTGGCCTCCTCCAGCCTCCCCTCCCACGGCTGGGAGCCTGGAGCGGGAGCGCGCTCCAAGGGGGACCTGGGACCCGTCCAGTGGCCCGGGGCCCTTCCTGCATGGACCTCTTCACCAGATCTGTCCTGGGGGGAGCCCCCCGGGTGTGCATCCCAGGTGGCCAAGCAGTTTACCGGGAGGGGGTGGAGCTTGGAGCCGGGCCGAGGGCCGGGGCGCATTCCATGGGGCGCCCCCCGCGGACCAGAATGGAGCCCTGGGGGAGGCCCCGGATGGAGCTGCCCTCGGAGCCCCCTCCCCGTGTCCCGCTGCGCACACCCGCGCTCGCGCAGGCCCCGGAGGGATCCCCACCTGCTTTCCTCCCATCTCCGGGTCCAGGCCGCGTCTCTTATCCAAAACCTCGTACTCCTCTCTTCCTCGCAGATTGAGCTCCTGCAGGAGGCGGGAAGACCGTCGGGGGCGCTGGGCCCTCTGGCCTGGACCCCGTGGGGCGCCCAGGGGAGCCGCGGGCCCGGTGGAGCCGAGCCCCGTCCGCCTCGGGGAGCCCCCCGGGGACAGGGCGGGTGAACCCAGCGGCCGGGCCGCCGCGCGGGGAGTCTGAGCCCCGCCCCCGCCCGCCGGGCCCCCCCCCGCCACCCCCCACCCCGGCGGCCCCGCGGGGCACACACTTACGTTGTAGAGCTGGTTGGGGCCCTGCTGGTCCTCGGGCGCGGCCGCGCTCCTGCCGTACTGGAAGAGAGGGCGGAGGGCTGAGAGCCCCCCCGCCCCCCCGCCCCCCCCGCGGGGTCCCAGCCCCACCGTGCCCCCCCCGCCCCCCCCGCGGGGTCCCAGCCCCATCGTGCCCCCCCCCGCGGGGTCCCAGCCCCATCGTGCCCCCCCCCCACCGCTGCACCGCGTCCCTGCACACCCCGCCACGCTGCTCTGGGGCTGTTCTCCCCAGCGTCGGAAACCCCCTAGGGATCCCCGAGGACTCATGCTTGAAAAAAGAAAGTGGGTGAGACTGCTTCACAGTCTTTTGCCAAAGTCTACAGGCCAAAAGAGCAATGGTTTGGGGGACAGAAGAGATAACCGGGCGGTAGAGACCTTGCACCCTCCGCGGCTCCAAAGCCACCCCCCGCCGCAGCCCCTCCAAGAAACCCGGGCTCCGGGCCTGCCCTCACGGGCCCTGATAGGGAACCCGAGTTTCCAGAGACAGGCTGGGTGGGCCTCCGTCTGGGAAGAAACCCTGCATTCCCCCCCCTGCTCTTAGTTGCCTGAAGCCTAAGCCCTCTCCTGCCAGCAGTAGCCCCCCCACCCCCACCCCCCGGGGATGCTTTGACCGTTGCTCAGGAAGACACCCAGCAGCAGGCGCTGCCTCCCAGCTGTAGGGCTGGGACACCAGCCCACCCATGCTGCGTGCTTGGCAGGTCCCTGGAGCCAGTGGATGCCATGCTCCAGGCACTACCTGAGCTGCAGAATTTCCAAGACTAAGGCCCTTCTGAACACTCCCCAAGTAGGGGAGCCCACGCCTTCTCCCCAAAGCCCCCAGTACTTACCTTTGCTCTCAGGAACAGAGCAGTGATAATGACACCATAGATGAAGAGGACTCCATCCAGCAGGTAGCACAATTTGGGATCCAGCAGGCCTAAGCTCTGAGCCCCTGTGCCAAGAGATAAGACTGATCAGCCAGGCCCAGGGTGACAGGACACGTCCCCACCATCCCAAGGCAACCCTGTGACTGACAAGGAGGCCTGGATCCATTCCCCACACCCTATCTGACCGCAACTTCCCTCCCATATCCTTGGACCAGCTCTGGGGAAAACCTGGCCTCCCCAATAGCCAGACATGACTCTGGGTGGGACCCCAGATCCTGGGAAGACTAGAAGGAAGCAGAAACTAGGTGTCCAGTGGACACCACTGGAGCCCAGCTGCACGTAAACTCCCATAGGAGCCACGCACCCTGGAAACCTCTGTAATAAAATGCCTGTGTCTGGATGAATGGATGGCACCCCTGAATTAGGGTATGAGGCTCCCTAAGGCCTATTCACAGGGAGAGAACAAAATTGATATTTGAATGAGATTGTTAATTAGGACTGTGAGAATCTGGGTCAATTCTTCCTTCCTGGGGCACCTGGGTGGCTCAGTGGTTGAGCATCTGCCTTTGGCTCAGGTTGTGATCCTGGAATCCTGGCATCAAGTCCCTCATCAGGCTCCCCCCAGGAATCCTGCTTCTCCCTCTGCCTATATCTCCACCTCTGTGTGTGTCTCTCATGAATAAATAAATAAAATCTTAAAACACACACACACACACACAAAACTCTCCCTTCCTGACTCCCAGTCTCCTTGGTGCCAGGCACTGAGCAGGGTCTCCCACTTGGGGCTGGCACTGAGCCCCAAGGAGTCTCATGAGCAATAGACAAAGGTCTATTCAGTGAGCCCCTCCCAGCCTGAACCCGGCAATTCCCCTGCTCACCCCTCCCTGCTCCATGGCCTCAGTTTCATCTGTGCTTGTCCCCTTGCCCTTCCCCCCCACCCCTACTTACAATTGGGGGAACACACCTTGCCCTTCCCCTACACACTTAGAATTCCCGGGACACACCTTGCTCTTCCAGACTCTGCCTCTGTTCCCTCTACGTTGTTTTCTCTCCCTTTCTCTCCCTGCAACCCTGCCACCTGGTAAAATCTGATGCTTCCTACAAAACATAGCTCAGAAATCTGTCTAGCCTGTCCCATCCCAAGCTGCAGATGAATCCCTAGTCCTCACGGCCATATTAACCTTTGTCAAACTAGCAATGCACGTGTAGCTGGCATTTTAGTGCAATGGCATTGGCGGTCTAGTAGCTTTCCTGGTTAAATAAAAGCATTTTTATTTGTAAAGCTCACTGCACCGTGGGTGAGAAGACACGGATTTTAGATGGTTACTTCCTGCCAGGTGTGCGCTCAGCCTGCAGATGGCCTGCCCCTGCCTCCCGCCCTGCCCGCTAAGGCGGCGCGGGCCCACAGCGGCTGCTCCTCCCAAGGCCACGGCGCCCTCTGGTGGCCGCCTGAAGCGCTGCGCTGCCCGGGCCGTGGGAGGGCACGCCGGCACCTGAGCCTGTCTTTACCTACCAGCGGGTTCACTTGGGGCAAGCTTTCCACCCTCTTTCAGCTGCCTCTTTGGCTAAAGAGGGTGAAAACGAACATTTCTTCAGTGTTTACTATGTGCCGGACACTTTAATGGGAAAACGAATCCGATCCTCCGGACAACGCCAGCACCAAGGCCAGCCAGCAGCAGGCCCCGCTGCGAGAGAGGCTGCCCCAGGACTGCGGCGGGCAGGGCGCCTCGGCTCTTCGCTCCCCGCCCGGCCCGGCCCAGCTCTGACCAGGAGCCCCGCGCTGTGTGAGCACTGGGTTCCAACTCTAACGTCCCCGAATCCCCATCCAAACCTGTGACTCCCACCCTGATTCAGGACCCCTCTGTGCCTCAGGCAGCTGAACTCCTGGTAAACTTAGGAAGGCCCCTGCTCAGAAACCCGTGATGACAGTCACCTGGAGCAAATCCAAGCTCCTCATCAGGCTGTACCCAGTGTCCCCAGCCCCCCGGCCCAGGCCTGGCTCCCCCAAGCCTGCCGCCCACTGCCTCTCCTGCTCCTGTAGAGGATGCGCTGCCCTTCCTTGAATTCACCAGTACTTTCCTAGCCACCTTGAGCTTGTTCCTCGTCCCCCCTGCTGGTGCTAGCACACCCCTCCACTCAGCAGGAAATGAGACTCCTGTCCTCCACCTTCACCCCGCGTTCCAGTGGCTGGTTCTGCCCCGATACACGTGCAAGAGCCTGCCTCCCACAGAGCACCCCCCACACGATATGTCAGGTTCTGAGACTGCCCTCCACGTAGGCCCTAAACGGCTGCAGTTTGGCCTCCTCCTTCATCCTCAACAACAGAACCCCGGGGTGCACGGGAGACACTCATTAGATGCTGTGCGATTTTTCAGGGAAGATGCTGGGGCCTGACCCAAAGTAGGCCTGCCCTCTGGCCCTGAGGCAGGGCCACCTGCCCCCACTGAGCACAGGTAGGGTCTGAAGCCCTCTGGGAGGTGAGCCACCTCCCAGCAAAGGCCACCAACACCGGGGTGATTTTTTTTCTTTTAGGACTGGAGAAGAGGTGTCAGTGGAGATTTATTGGGGTGGTTGAGATTCAGAAAAAGGGCTGGAAGAAAATCGCTCAGCTGCCTGTCACATAAAATGAGGACAGAAAAATTACTGGACAGTAAATTTAGAACAAATGAGAAGAAATATTTCTTCATGTTGCACACAGCCCGCACAGCGGGGGTGGGGAACTGGTTGCCTCCCCCAGAAATAAGTAACAGGGACAGGTTTTCTCTCGCTCTTTTTAAAGAGCAGCATGATTTTATGGCCCATGACAAGTATGCTGTGTGTGGTTTGACCAAGGCGAGCAGATTAACCGCAGCACGTTTCCCAGGGTGGGGATCGCCCCTCTGCCCGGGCCAGCTGTGCTTGTGCTGGGAGTGCCGGGCTCAAGGAGGGTGGTGAGAGCACCGAGTGTTCCACAAAGGGACCCAGGACTTAATTCAATTACAAAACTGATCCATTTTTCTTGGGCACCTGCTTAAAATGCCAGGGAATGTCAAAACAGAAGGACCCCCGATTGGGTGTCAGGTGGATTCTCTAGTCCTTCGCTTGCCGCTAAGGAGCCGTGTGGTCTTGGACAAGTGACCTCACCTCTCTGGACCTCAGTGTCTTCCTCTGTAAAATGGCTGGTAAACGTATCTACCCTAAGGGTGTGGTGAAAATAAAACGAGGGACGCCTGGGTGGCTCAGTAGTTGAGCATCTGCCTTGGGCTCAGGGCATGACCCCTGATCCAAGCAGGCTCCTACACAGAGAGCCTGCTTCTCCCTCTGCCTATGTCTCTGCCTCTCTCTGTGTCTCTCATTAATAAATAAATAAAATCTTTTAAAAAAGAAAACTAAAAGATGTATTGGTCGATGTTTTTGTATATCTCCCATAAGGACAATGATGTCTAACGTGTGGGTCAGGCCTTCCGTGTCCCTGCCCTCGCGGGGCTTATGGCTCTAGCTTGCACAGCGCGGAAGGGCTTCCCTCGGCTAGCAGGCAGTTTTCCAGGATGCCAACTCAAAGGCATGAGGCAGAGACACTCGCTTCCTGGTTCCGGCTCCTTCCCTGCACCCTCATCCCCAAGGCAGACACCTCTTTGCCTCCTTCCCTGATCCACTTTCACACCTTGTTCATTTAACATGCTGATGGGGGCTGCTTTCCTATAGGACTGGGACTATTTTCTCCGACAGTTCTCCTGCTCTGCCCCAGATCCACAGCACCCAAGAGAACTCAGTGTCTGAGCAAATGCAGAAGCTGATTAAGATTCTCGCACAGACTCTCTGGCTGGCTGCGCCCCCCTCCCCGCCCCGGATTCTCACTGACTAGGTCTGCGGTACAGCCTGGGCCTGGGCCTGAGCCTGGGCCAGGGCACAGCCAGGGTCGCCCCTCACACGGTGCAGCCGTTCCCACACATATCCTACAGTCAGGGCACGTTTCACAGGCAGAGCGGAGGATGGCATGAAGGCCTCAGTGTTCCTTATACACTGATTTGTGTACTTCCGCACTGTGTGTGCCCGACTCCTTGAACCTCTGTGCCCTTGTCTGCAAAATGGAGCTAACACGACAGTGTGTCTCATTAGGTAGCAGTGAGGATTATTTATTGCAGGTGTCAGACCCGACATGTAATAAGCGCTCCGTGTGTCAGCTTATTGGGGTTTTTTTCCCCCAAATCACCACTAACACTTTTTTTTTTTTTTGAGGAAGAAAAGGTCAAATTGTATCAAGAACTTTTAAACTGGATAAGACGAGAGAGCGTCTAACTTCTGGGTGTTGACACCGCACAGCTAACCAGATGCTGTCGTCACCATTAAACCAGCGGGCATTTGATGAGGGGGATGCATTCTGAGCAGTCACATGATTTCCCATTTAGAAAATGCTGCCTTCATATCAGAGAAGTTGTATCGAGGAGAACAAAGACACCCTCACAATAGCTTCCTGGTGCCGGCCTAGACATGACAGTGGCCAGGTGAAAGGGGACAAGCCCCATGCTTCCAGCTCTGGGCTGCAGGATGAGAGCTGGAGGTGGGATCTGATCCCATGAGCCTTTTCCATCCAACCTGAACGTCCACAGGCCATGCTCTGGCCCCCTACAAGAGGCATACTCAGCAAATCTGGTAAATAAGGGGACTCGGTCCCAATCCCACTCCCACACCACCTTACCCAGGTCTAACAGGTGACCCCACTGTGCCAGCCCCTTGCATCCGGACGGACACGTGGCAAATATGGAAACTGAAGTCCAGCTGGGCTGGAGCACATCCAGGTGTCACAGGGTTGGGGACGTAGGCAGGGGTTCCCAGATGACCAGGCCTTATACACGGCGGCCAGGCTGAGACAGAGGTACTTTAGGTGATTCCAGTTATTCCAGGGCAAGTCACAACCCTGATGACACCTTGCAGAAGAGCCAGCTGAAGCCTGGGAAGAGCTGGCCTTGCTCACCTAGTACCACGGGTGCTGGGAACAGGATTGAAACCCTGCGGGGTGGGAGGAGGAGCCTGGCCACAGCCTGCCCTCGTCCACAGCCCAGGGGTCAGTGCCCAGCATGCGCAC